GAGTCCGGGCCGGAGCCTTTTCCTATTTCTTTCTCTCTGAGAACATTTCTGATTTATTTCTCTCCCTCACTCCTTTCCATTTCTTGTTCAGTACAATCCAAGTTCGAGCAGATCCACAGGTTGCGTTCTCATGGTCTCATTTGCACCTTCACCAGGTGTGAGAAGGTCGGAGAGCCCCCCAGCCCCGAGCACCCTCAGCGGTGAGAGGGACACAGAGCCCCTGGTCCCCAGCCCTGCACAGGCATTCCTTGAGGCCAGAGGAATGGAGACCACCCGAGCATCCCCTAGAGTGAGGGGACAGAGACCCCCGAGCATCCCCTGGGCTGAGAGGGACAGAGACTGCCCCGAGCACCCCTGGGCACAGGGGCGAGAGGGAGGGAGAACCCCCTTGCATTCCCTGCATTCCCTGGTGTGAGAATGATGGAGGCCCTTCTGGGAAATGGCCTGGGGTGACAGGGACAGGGACAGAGACAGGGACAGAGACAACCCCTCCAGCCCCTCCCAAGCATTCCCAGGGAATGAGGTACACAAACCCCTCGAGCATCCACTGGGCACTGTGTTATAAATAAGAAGCTTGACTAGGCCAATATTCAAGCCGCAATCAATTTATTATTTAATATAGTGAATCATGAGCAATACAGCGCTGGATACAGTGGGGGAAGTTTTACCTCCAACTGCACACCTATTACAGCGACCTGAGAAGGTCTCCATGGTGAGAGAAGGATGAGAATCTTGTTTCTTGATCAGAAGGCTGGATTTATTGATATATGATATATAATACATTATAACTATATTAAAAAGAATAAGGAGAGAGGTTCCAAAGGCTTGCTAAGCTAAGAATAGAATAGAAAGAATGAATAACAAAGTTCTGTGTCCAGGGAATCTGTCCCTGAGCTGCTCCTGTGATTGGCCCTTAATGGTACACATGGAGGATGAGCCAATCACAGGATCACCTGCTACATTTCATGCAGCCGATAACAATTTGTTTACATTCTTCTTCTGGGGCCCTTTGCTTCCCAGAAGATGCACAAATCCCAAAGAAAGGATTTCTGTGAAAAAATGTCTGCGACACACACCGATAATTGAGGCTTACAGGTATTTATAGGGGTACTCATCAGCTTTCTCAGCAGTTTCTATTCCAAATTTTTACGTCAAAATTCTGTACACTACAGTGATTTAGTTTATCTCAGGATCTATTCCAAAAGCAGTATCCCCAGATGCTGGTGGTTCGTTTTCTAAAAGAAGGAAGAAGTCTCCCAGATGGTGAGGTCCAGCTCTCCAGATGTGGATCCACCTTTTAAATGCAAGGACTATAAATCTCATAATAGTGATGTCCAACTGCCCTTGGTCGAAACTATAAATCCTTGAATTGATGTTCATCTTCCTTTCTCAAGCTGCTTTTCACTGTTTCGTTAAGGTGTGAGATAAGCATGTTTCCTTTTATATACTCTAAAGCTTAGTTTCAAAGATCCTCATTACAAGTATTATTCTAAAATTATACTTCAAAACATTCTTATTGCAAAACTCTTTAAGGCTTAGCTAAAAGCAGAAAGTTCCTGTCAAAAAGCAGCATCCTTAAAGCTTGTCCTGGTTTAGGGCAAATTTGTTGAAGAATCTGCAAAGGAGGGCCCCTCCAGAAAGCAAACCCACACGGCCTCTCCCCCCCAACCAGTTCGGGAAGAATTCCTCAGAGAGAAGTGGAAAGAACCTGTTTATTTGACAGACACAGCATCCCCCAGCACACAAAATGAACAATACCAGATGACACCGCTCTGAGAAAGATGACAAAATCAGAAAGTCTCTTTCAGGAGTGGTTGCTCTGTTCTCAGTCCATCTGGTGCTGGGGCAGCTGCTGCAGACAAACCCTCGGTGTTCCCAGGTCCCAGTCCGGAGCAGGTTCGAGATGGTCACAGAAACAGGAGAGGAGAAGCAGTCCATGAAGGAATTTGGACTGTTTAGCTAAACTAGCTAATAAGCAGAAGCAAAAGCAAAAACGAGAGCAGAGAGACAGCAAGCAAAGCAGAAAAGCCAAAAGCAAAAAGCAAAAAGCCAAAACAGCCCTATGTACTGCCCGTCTCTGTGTCTCTGATAAGAGAAACCCAAACGAAACTTTCACTCCTCAGAGACAGTCTTAAAGGCACAGAACAGATGAATGGGGATACAAGCATCATAATGTCACCCCAGGACATTCCACCCCTTATCCCCATATCATCAACATACTACCACACATCATGCATTATTCATACAAAATTTCCATCTATTCCCCCAAAATTTACAAGCAATACCCATCATGCCTGCATCACATCCCCACACTGGACCACTGAATCCAGACCCTATCCAGCTGCTGGATTCCCCCCTTTCGCTTTACTCACTTAAACCTCCATCTATCACTTGCTCAGGCCTTCAACACTTACACATTTCCTTCTATCTCATGTCTGTATGGTTTAATG